GTAAGTGGAACTACAGTGTTTTTCATATTAAATAACAAAAACGAATCTGTGTTTCTTATAGATTTAATAATAAACACGTTTTTTTGAGTTAAAAGTATAAATATCATTTGAAAAGTGCAGTGTCTACATTTTTCTTCTATATCTCGACGATCTTTGTTGCTATTATTAATATTAAACATGCATACAAAAGCTAAAACTATAGTGAATGAAATTTGTATAAAGTAACATTTGTACCTTTTATAGATTTCTTGTAATTCGCTGTCAAATTTCAAGTAATTGGAATTACAGTGTGTTTCATATTAAATAACAAATCGAATCTGTGACTCTTATAGATTCAATAATAAACACGTTTTTTTGAGTTAAAAGTATAAATATCATTCGAAAAGTGCATTGTCTACATTTTTCTTTTATATCTCAACGATCTTCGTTGTTACTATTAATATTAAACATGCATATAAAAGCTAAAACTATAGTTAATGAAATTAGTATAAAATTACATTTGTACCTTTTATAGATTTCTTGTAATTCGCTACCAAATTTCAAGTAATTGGAACTACAGCGTGTTTCATATTAAATAACAAAAACGCATCTGTGTCTCTTATAGATTCAATAATAAACACGTTTTTTTTTGAGTTAAAAGTATAAATATCATTCGAAAAGTGCAGTGTCTACATTTTTCTTTTATATCTCGATGATCTTTGTTACTATTATTAATATTAAACATGCATATAAAAGCTAAAACTATAGTGAATGAAATTAGTATTAAATAACATTTGTACTTTTTATAGATTTCTTGTAATTCGCTGTCAAAATCAAGTAATTGGAACTACAGTGTGTTTCATATTAAATAACAAAAACGCATCTGTGTTTCTTATAGATTCAATAATAAACACGTTTTTTTTTGAGTTAAAAGTATAAATATTATTCGAAAAGTGCAGTGTCTACATTTTTCTTCTATATCTCAACGATCTTTGTTGCTATTATTAATATTAAACATGCATATAAAAGCTAAAACTATAGTGAATGAAATTAGTATTAAATAACATTTGTACTTTTTATAGATTTCTTGTAATTCGCTGTCAAAATCAAGTAATTGGAACTACAGTGTGTTTCATATTAAATAACAATAACGCATCTGTGTTTCTTATAGATTCAATAATAAACACGTTTTTTTTTGAGTTAAAAGTATAAATATCATTCGCAAAGTGCAGTGTCTACATTTTTCTCCTATATCTCGACGATCTTCGTTGCTATTATTAATATTAAACATGCATATAAAAGCTAAAACTGTAAAGAATGAAATGAGTATAAAACAACATTTGTACTTTTTATAGATTTCTTGTAATTCGCTGACAAATTTCAAGTAATTGGAACTACAGTGTTTCATATTAAATAACAAATCGAATCTGTGTCTCTTAT